GAGGGGAACACAAGAGAACACTCAAACCAACAAGAATGATCACACATGTGCTAGATCCTCGGATACATAGAACGATACATGGTCCACGGACAACTAAGGATGATACACGGTAACCGGTCTTCTTTGTGAGGAGGTCTTGATGTTCTTCCCTAGAGAGGGGTCTTGAATCCGCTTGGGGGATCTTCTCCGAAAGGAGGTCTTGAATCCAAAGGGATCTTCTCCGAAGAGGCCGCGGTCTCTCACGAGGAGTAGATCCGATGTGGATGAGCGTAGCTCTATCTCTAAGTATGAGCTAAACCAACGCTAACCCTAACTAGGAGGAGGTGGAGGAATATATATAGTCTAGGAGAATGAAAGGGTAAGTGGCTTTGGCCCAACACACGGGCGGGTGCACAGGCGTCGGACGTCCGACAGGTACCGGACGTCCGGTGGCTCGCGAGGGTCCGGTCGTCCGGTTCATGTCGGACGTCCGGCGTTTTGGCTCTGGACAGGTGGTGTCGGACGTTCGATCGGCGTCGGTCGTCCGGGCGCTGGAGAGTGTCGGACGTCCGGTGTCTGGCGGTCGTCCTGGCGCCGGGAGTCGTCGGACGTCGGTGGCTCCGATCGTCCGTAGATTCGGCTCGGGTCCTCAGGGGCCGGACGTCCGGGCTAGGCCGGTCGTCCGGTGGCTGTAGCTTTGTGCAGCTTCTTCTCTTGGTCCTTGTACTTGGCATCCTCGTTAGCTGTTCCGTTGGATGTGGTGACTTCGTGGCTTTCCTCCAAGTACCTGATCATGCATAGAACACACGTTGGAGGTAGTAGCCATATCTCACATGTAGAAAGTGATGGTTCGGAGAGGAGCGAGTTCACCCTGTGTCCAATGGCGTATGTTCGAGGTCTCGTCATATGTCCACTTGGGGTTTGGAGAGTAGTCGGAGTGTACATGGGGATGAACGTGGGATGCTTCGCATCACATACCTACCTATTATGGCATTTCCATAGCCATTCTGAGATATATTGCCATGCAACTTTCCACTGTTATGTTTATTATGACATGTTCCATCATTGTCATATTGCTTTGCATGATCATGTAGTTGACATCGTATTTGTGGCTAAGCCACATTTCATCATTTTTATACATGTCGCTCTTGAGTCATTGCACATCCCGGTACACCGCCGGAGGCATTCATATCGAGTCATATTTTGTTCTAGTATCGAGTTGTAATTTTTGAGTTGTAAGTAAATAAGAGTGTGATGATCTTCATTATTAGAGCATTGTCCCATGTGAGGAATAAAAGTGTCCAAAGAAGCCAACAAAAGAAGAGAGGCCAAAGAAGCCTAACAAAAAATGAGAGAAAAAGAGAGAAGGGGCAATGCTACTATCCTTTTTCCACACTTGTGCTTCAAAGTAGCACCATGATCTTCATGATAGAGAGTCTCCTATGTTGTCACTTTCAGATGCTAGTGGAAATTTTTCATTATAGAACTTTGCTTGTATATTCCAACGATGGGCTTCCTCAAATTGCCCTAGGTCTTCATGAGCAAGCAAGTTGGATGCACACCCACTTAGTTTTCTTTTTGAGCTTTCATACACTTATAGCTCTAGTGCATCCGTTGCATGGCAATCCCTACTCACTCACATTGATATCTATTGATGGGCAACTCCATATCCCGTTGATATGCCTTGTTGATGTGACACTATATCCCTCCTTTTGTCTTCTCCACAACCACCATATTGTATTCCACCTATAGTGCTATGTCCATGGCTCACGCTCATGTATTGCGTGAAAGTTGAAAAAGTTTGAGAACACCAAAAGTATGAAACAATTGCTTGGCTTGTCATCGTGGTTGTGCATGATTTGAATATTTTGTGTGATGAAGATGGAGCATAGACAGACTATATGATTTTGCAGGGGTAAGCTTTCTTTGGCCATGTTATTTTGAGAAGACATAATTGCCTTGTTAGTATGCTTGAAGTATTATTGTTTTTATGTCAATATTAAACTTTTGTTCTAAATTTTATGGATCTGAACATTCATGCCATAATAAAGAAAATTACATGAATAATTATGTTAGGTAGCATTCCACATCAAAAATTCTGTTTTTATCATTTACCCACTCGAGGACAAGCAGGAATTAAGCTTCGGGATGCTTGATACATCTACAACGTATCTATAATTTTTGACTGTTCCATGCTATTATATTATCTATTTTTGGATGTTTTATATGCATTAATATGTTATTTTATATTATTTTTGAGACTAACCTATTAACCTAGATCCCAGTGCCAGTTTCTATTTTTTTCTTGTTTTTGAGCTTCGCAGAAAAGGAATACCAGATGGAGTCCAAACGGAATAAAACCTTCATGATGATTTTTGTTGGACCAGAAGACACCCATTGGACTTTGACTCCAAGTCAGAAGATCTTGGAGTAGACGACAAGCCACAGGGGGGCGCCCCCTGCCTTGTGGCCTACTCCAACACCCCCTGACCTAATTCTTCGTCCTATATATTCACATATATTCCCAAACCTCCAGATGCATCCATGAAAATACTTTTCCACAACCGCAACCTTCTGTACCCGTGAGATCCCATCTAGGGACCTTTTTTCGGCACCCTTCCGGAGGGGGATTCGATCACGGAGGGCTTCTACATCAACTCTATTACCCTTCCAATGAAGTGTGAGTAGTTTACCTTAGACCTATAGGTCCATAGCTAGTAGCTAGATGGCTTCTTCTCTCTCTCTTTGATTCTCAATACCATATTCTCCTCGATGTTCTTGGAGATCTATCTGATGTAATACTCTTTTGCGGTGTGTTTGTCGAGATCCGATAAATTGTGGATTTATGATAAGCTTATCTATGAATATTATTTGAATCTTCTCTGAATTCCTATATGCATGATTTGATATCTTTGTAATTCTCTTCGAATTATCGGTTTAGTTTGGCCAACTAGATTGGTTTTTCTTGCAACGGGAGAAGTGCTTAGCTTTGGGTTCGATCTTGCGGTGTCCTTTCCTAGTGACAGTAGGGGCAGCAAGGCACGTATTGTATTGTTGCCACCGAGGATAAAAAGATGGGGTTTTCATCATATTGCTTGAGTTAATTCCTCTACATCATGTCATCTTACTTAATGTGTTACTCTATTCTTCATAAACTTAATACTCTAGATGCAGGTAGGAGTCAGTCGATGTGTGGAGTAATAGTAGTAGATGCAGAATCGATTCGGTCTACTTGACACGGATGTGATGCCTATATTTCATAATCATTGCCTTAGATATCGTCATAACTTTGCGCTCTTCTATCAATTGCTCGACAGTAATTTGTTCACCCACCGTATTATTTGCTATCTTGAGAGAAGCCTCTAGCAAAACCTATGGCCCCCCGGGTCTATTTTCCATCATATAAGTTTTCGATTTACTCTTTTCCATCATATAAGTTTCCGATGTACAATATTAGTTTCCAATCTACTATTTTGCAAACTTTTACTTTCCGATCTATAAACCAAAAATACCAAAAATATTTACTTTACTATTTATCTATCTCTATCAGATCTCACTTTTTCAAGTGACCGTGAAGGGATTGACAACCCCTTTATCGCGTTGGGTGCAAGTTGTTCGATTGTTTGTGCAGGTATTATGTGATTTGTGTGTTGTCTCCTACTGGATTGATACCTTGGTTCTCAAACTGAGGGAAATACTTATCTCTACTTTGCTGCATCACCCTTTCCTCTTCAAGGGAAAAACCAACGCAAGCTCAAGAAGTAGCAAGCACCGCCGTCTAGAGGCGGAACTTGGGCAGGAGCACTTTAACCCTCCGGCGGAGTGATTCCGCCGGGGGAACTTCCCTCCCAGAGGGGGAAATCGAAGCCATCGTCATCACCAACAACCCTTTCATCTTTGGGAGGCCAATCTCCATCAGCATCTTCAACAGCACCATCTCCTCTCAAACCCTAGTTCATCTCTTGTGTTCAATCTTTATACCGGAACCTCAGATTGGTACCTGTGGGTGACTAGTAGTGTTGATTACATCTTGTAGTTGATTACTATATGGTTTATTTGGTGGAAGATTGTATGTTCAGAATTATGCTATTTAATACCCCTCTGATCTTGAGCATGATTATCATTTGTAAGTAGTTAATTTTGTTCTTGAGGTCACTGGAGAAATCATGTTGCAAGTAATCATGTGAACTTGATATGTGTTCGATATTTTGATGATATGTTGATAACCCACAAGTATAGGGGATCAATTGTAGCCTCTTTCGATAAGTAAGAGTGTCGAAACCAACGAGGAGCTAAAGGTAGAACAAATATTCCCTCAAGTTCTATCGACCACTGATACAACTCTACGCACGCTTAACGTTCGCTTTACCTAGAACAAGTATGAAACTAGAAGTACTTTATAGGTGTTGTTGGATAGGTTTGCAAGATAATAAAGAGCGCATAAATAAAAATTAGGGTTGTTTAGATGAAGACACAACTAAGTTAGTTTTAGTAGAGAGCTTTTTGTCACACAAGAAAGTTATTTGTCCGTAGGCAATAGATAACTAGACCGGTAATCATTATTGCAATTTTATTTGAGGGACAGGCATAAGCTAACACACTTTCTCTTCTTGGATCATATGCACTTATGATTGGAACTCTAGCAAGCATCCGCAACTACTAAAGATCATTACAGTAAAACCCAAACATAGCATTAAAGTATCAAGTCCTCTTTATTACCATACGCAAATAACCTACTTACTCGGGTTTGTGCTTCTGTCACTCACGCCACCCACCATAAGCAAATCATGAACATATTGCAAACCCTACAGCGGGGATCCCTCACGCTTGCGCGACACGAAGAGCACCATAGGACAGCACCAATAATAGAACATGCAACTCAAGCCAATCACGATCATCAATTAACCCATAGGACAAAACGGATCTACTCAAACATCATAGGATAGCCATACATCATTGGGAAATAATATATAGAGTTGAGCACCATGTTTAAGTAGAGATTACAGTGGGTAGAATAGGGGTTACACCGCTGCATAGAGGGGGGAAGAGTTGGTGATGACGGCAGTGAAGTTGTTGGTGTAGATCGGTGTCGCAATGATGGCCCCGGTGGCGTTCCGGCGCCACCGGGAGAGAGGGGGCAAGAGCCCCCCGTCTTCTTCTTCTTCCTTGACCTTCTCCCTAGATGGGAGAAGGGTTTCCCCTCGGGTCCTTGGTCTCCATGGCATGGGAGGGGCGAGAGCCCCTCCGAGATTGGATCTGTCTCTCTGTTTTTGCGCTCCCAGATATGGCCTTTCACTGTTTCTTATATTCCTGGAGATCCGTAACTCCGATTGGATTGAAATTTGAACACCATTTTTATCCGGATATTAGCTTTCTTGCGGCGAAAGAAGGGCACCAACCGCCTTACAGGGTGTCCACGAGGGTCAGGGGAGCACCCCCTGCCTCATGGCCCCCTCGGGCATCATATCGCGTTGATTCCACTTCCCAAAATTCACATATATTCAAAAAAAAAAATCTCTACTAGTTTTTATCCCGTTTGGACTTTGTTTGATATGGATTTTCTGTCAAACAAAAAACATGCAATAAACAGGAACTGGCACTGGGCACTGGATCAATATGTTAGTCCCAAAAATAGTATAAAAAGTTGCCAAAGGTATATGAAAGTTGTATAATATTGGCATGGAACAATCAATATATATATATATATATATATATATATGATGGAGACATATCATATGTATGTTGTGGTTCCCTTAGTGGTGGCATGTGAACGTCGACTACATGGAACTTCACCATCTTTGGGCCTAAGGGAATGCATGTGGAGTAGTTATTAGATGATGGGTTTCTAGAGTGATAGAAGCTTAAACCCTAGTTTATGCGCTACTTCATAAGGGACCGATTTGGATCTAAATTTTTAATGCTATGGTTAGATTTTATCTTAATACTTTTCTCGTAGTTGCGGATGCTTGCGAGGGGGTTAATCATAAGTGGGAGGTTTGTTCAAGTAAGAACATCACCCAAGCACCGGTCCACCCACATACCAAATTATCAAAGTAGCGAACGCGAATCAAACCAACATGATGGAAGTGACTAGATGAAATTCCCGTGTTCCCTCAAGAACACTTTGCTTATTATAAGAGACCGTTTTGGTGTGTCCTTTGTCACAAAAGGATTGGGCTACCTTTATGCACTTTATTTACCGTTACCGTTACTTGTCCGTTACAAATTATGTTGCTATCAAACTACCTGTTACCGACTATTTCAGTGCTTGAAGAAAATACCTTGCTGAAAACCACTTGTCATTTCCTTCTGCTCCTCGTTGGGTTCGACACTTACTTATCAAAAGGACTATGATTGATACCCTATACTTGTGGGTCATCACAATACACTAGGCAAGCAATCCCTTTGAAAAGCAACACAAGAAACAAAAAGGGCGGTAATAGCAAGAAGGCAACTTGATCTAGCTGACTCACTGGTGTCGATGGCAAAGGCGATTGTGGAGTTGCTGCTTGTAAAGAACGACTTCCACCTATTGACTTAAGCGACATAATATTCTAGATCGGATAGGTGCGAGAACTCGGCCACCTTCGGGCACTGCTATGCCTAATATTCATTTAAAGAATTCGAAACCATATGCAATAAGAACATGTTTAGTTCAAGAACATGTTTAGCGCTGCCATGGCTCTGAGCACCAAACGATCTTACACAACTTAGACAGACCAATCAACATAGCTGGCAGGAAAAACATAAATCATGCACAAACCAAGGGCAACAACAACTCCAACTACCCGTGGCGTCGGGACTCAGGACACGGGAGGCCTGCTGCTGGGGTAATGTGAGCTCGCCTTGCTGCTCCTCCCTCGCTGCCAACCTGAAAGACATGACCACTGGCCTGGTCCCGGCCATGCCAGTGAATGATCAATCCATGGGCGGTACATACTCCTCCCCCAAAGTAAGCTGCAGATTGCACATACACAGAAACAACTCTTTGTTAGACTCGGACAACGAGTCAACGTCATACATACAGGAGGACGGGACTGATGCACATGAAGCGAGAGAAGCATAGATCCATTAAGCATCCGCATCCCAACAACAATATGGAGGCTAATCAAAATCAGCAAAGCCACATGCATGGGCATCAGAAAGATTTGGCGTGTCTCTCCCTCCCTAGAACCAGAACCGTCGCTTCCTTGAGACGCTAACCCTCGCCATCCGTGGCAAGGAAGATGCCGAAAGGAATTCGGCATCCCATACCTAAAATGTTCACTTCTTTCCGAAAAGAAAAGAAATGCATAGGAATATGGGAAGGGAAGAAAACGACAGACGAAAAAGAATTGAACCCGCCTCCACCATCGAATGAATCAGGCGGCAAGACACGACATCGTGCTGCGGCGTGACAATGAGAGCCAGGAACAAACACAGTGGGCAAAAAACTACTGGTGTGTGAGGGCATGGTCGTGGTTTTGTGGAAATCCCACGATTCGTTACGCTGAACTTGCCCAAATCGAGAAAGGGGAGGAGGGCAAGGGCAGTAAGGAGCGTACCTGAATCCTTTCTGGCGGAGTCGTACTCGGCGGCAGCACGCTGGCGCTACAACAACTGCTCGTGGGCTATCACACCCTGGAAGTCCCTCTGTCCAACCGGCTCGGGGAAGGAGGAGCATGAGCAAGGAGCAGCCATGCTCGCGGTCTTTGGTGCCAGCGGCTGAGGGAGGAAGATGGGGGATGGGAAGTGGAGATCCCATGCGCTACGCCGTGGGGCGCATCCACGACCTCAGCCATGGATGTCGATCGATCTGCCTCGCGGAGAGGAGGGAGGCCGTCAGCGGGAGGGAGGCGAAGGGGATGATGTGCAACTGCAGAAAGGGGAGGAGTGGTCACGACTGCTAGGGTTTGCATGACGTGGGGAGATGCTAAACCACCAGTGACATTTGTTTTTTAGCGCGAGGGGTGTTGTGGCCTTGTGGGAGGTGACACGAAAATTGGTTATTTGTTTCCTAATTAATGTGATTGAGCGATTTAAGTTAATGTTGATTAATTTAGATTTGATCTTTAGAGATTGATCATGATTGATTCTTTCACATAAAGACATTACTAAATAACTTGCACCAACATGGAAAGTTCTGATTCGTTCAAATTTTTTATTGTGTGAGAGGGTGACGTGAAGGGGACGAAAAAACAGACTAAAGAAACCATACTAAAAGGGGGATGAGAAAAACCCATGGATGCCAGCCTACGAACTACTCCATTAGGAGTAGAGATAACTGAAATATTTAGTAATTGCTAGTTTAATCTGAACCGACTTTAAGTATTATTATGATGAGGCAATCTCTTCATAATTAACTCCTTGATCTTTTACTAAACTATTTGCAACAAATCAAGCATTATAAAACATTATATTTTGTTTCAATCTATAGATCCATCACCACACTTTAGACTTTAAGTCTTTCAGAGGGTCATCAAGTTCTAAACTTGAATTATGTGTATGGATACTATCTTCGATTATTTTGGCGTATAGCCAATTTCGGAGTCAGGGCCCATCAACGTTTCTCTATGTATTATAGGTCCATTGTTTGCTTCAACAATATTTCATCTGCATACCATGAAGATTTGCATGAATTTTCCCAACCTATATTGTTTAGCTGCAAGTTCGACTGAAGTCTCTATATTTCATGTAAAGTCTTTTGTACCAGTCGTGGAAGGAAATTCTAGAATCACTTCTAGTGTTTATTTTCCTTGATCTGATCATAAAGATTCTACAATCTTGTCGAGTTGCACTATCCTCCGACTCACTCTTTCGCGGAAAACATTTTCTTCAAAAAAATGCACTCTATAGCAAAATACTTTGCCTTGGCATAGTGATAGAGGAATACCCAACCATTTGGGATAATCTACAAAGTAGTACTTATTTTAAATAAATGCGATGGTGCTCTTTTAGTGTAAAAGCCACAATCTCTAATGCACCACATTAAAAAGTATATTGATGAAGTAACTAATGTCATCTTTGATCACACCATGTCATACATAGCTTGATTAATCTACTCAAAACACTCTACTCTTAGTAGTGTTTCTAGGAGGTGCAAGCTATAAAATATTTATTACAACTCATCGGACATTCGCTAAATTTGTAACTCAAATATTCTTTTCTGCAATTCAATTGTAGAAACATAGTTTTCTTGTTATAATAATTTCTACTTCATTCTACAAATCTTTTGAAACATTTCAAAAGATCCATATTTATGTCTCAATTAGTAAATATAAATATCTACTTGAGTCATCCTTGAAGATAGATAAATCCACTGCTTGTAATGACACTTATTGGACTACATACATCAATATGCATATTTCCCATTATTTTGTTGCTCATTCTTTATGGCCTGTGAATGGTATTTTAGTTTACTTCACTATTTGGATGAAAGTTGTAACTGTCAGGTGATTCATAATCATATGACTCCAAAATCCATCACTATGGAATTTCTCCATGCAGGTTACTCTAATGTGAAAAAATGCAGTGCCTCACATATGTGGTATTCTATTAGTCTTGCGACATTTAGCGTCAGTGTTATGTATGTTCAATTCTATCATCAATATTCATAACATACATCCTATTTATAATAGGAGTATGGCCCTTTTTATCCATTACATTGAACAACTATTGTTCTCTTATGAACAACCTCTTTGCAACTTCTATGCAATGGGCTAGAGTGTACAAAACTCTAAAATGAATTATGACAATAAATTCAGAGGTAACATGTTGATGAAAAAGTATCATAACTTTTACAAAATTTTCAGCACATATTTTAACCTTGTTAATTTGTTGGTCATTAGGACCTAGTAATTCTTGCATCGATTCGCAACAACATGCAATCGAGTCGGTATCCTTGTGATCAACTTTCAACCACAATTCTTGAAGAATTTAGTGTTTAAAAATTTCATCACAATTCTCAAGAATTACACTTTACTTGACCGACTTTCTCTACATCTTATAACTTGTATGACATTTATACTTGAGCTGGACACTCCAGTCTTCTTTTCTTTTTGCCTCTAAAATTCTTATAGTTTTACTTTCAGTATTTCTCCCACTCAACAAAAGAATCATCTAATCTTTTAAGAGTGGTGTGAGCACTGAACTTCCCTAGGCATGTAAGTCTCATTACATCCTTTCCTTTTGTTCTTTCTCTTTAAGTTCTCACCATCAACTCATGATTGGTGTTCTTCCGGACCTTACACATTTTGTCTCAAACATAGTTGAATGCTTCACTAGAACTTGCAAACAAAACACTTCTTTAGATATCATATATCTTTTAACCTTTGTTTGTTTCTGAAAACAATTTTCTGTTCCAAGAATATCACATAACAAAGATAAAAATGTTCTATAATGCTTGACATGTTGCAAATATTTTATGACAAGATCAAGGAGTTGATGAGATATAACAGATGTATGTCAAACTGATTCCCATGAGATGGAAATAGAACCAAGGTTTTATATTTGATACGGTCAAAGGTAATTTTGTCTATCCAGAGGATGCTAGTAAGTATGCAAATCTAAAGCAAGCATAGTGGAGTTGGAATCGTCCTGATGAAATGGTCAAATAATTTGATTTCATTGAGGAAAGTGAAGATGCTTGTATTTACAAGAAAGTAAGTGAGAGCATGATGATATTTCTAAACACTATGTGCATGCATATTGTCGATTGGAAATTTCTTGACACAAATCAACACTTTATTGAAACTAGTTTTTCAGTAAAGTAATTAGGCAATATATAATCCTAGTATTAGGCATAATGATCCATGGATACAGTAGTGTCTAATTGGGCTTATCCAAAATACATATTGACAGAATAATAAAACAATTTAGTAAGAAAAACGCCAAGAAGAGTTTATTGACAAAGCACACAGAAAGATTTTTAAGCAAGAGTCAGTACTCTGAAATACTGATGAGAGAAATACATAGTTTCAATCACACTTTTATTAATGTTCCATGGTATGTAAAGTTGTAAACAACCAGATATATCCAGTACTCCAAGTAAGTTGTGAGTAAAGTTACCAGAATGATCAAATTGTTGATCATAGGATAATAGTAAAATGTTGTTAAATACTAATGCCATGTGTCTTGCATACGAAGAAGATGAAGAGATTGTTGTAAGGAGTTACATCAATACATGCTCGTTGTAAGTAGTACTTCAATAAAAACTTCATTTATGCTCCAAGCGATTTTTGATTTCAATTTATGGTGGCACGGTATGTCGGAGTTTGTACAAAAAATTACTATGGTGAATTCTACAACAGAAGGTTGAGTATATTGTCACTTTAGAAGTAACAATAGAGGGTGATGAATCAAAAGTTCATTTATGAGCTTGGTATGATTTCTAGATGATTCTGTAAATGGAACAGTATTCTTAATAGTGGTCCCATATCTCAGTTTATGGAACCATAGGTCTTGCTAGTGATTCAATACATACAAAGCCAGTTTCACACTAAATATGAATTTATGTGAAAGCATGATAGATGCATTCAAATGCAAATGATACACACAGATCTGAAGATTTTCATATTCGATAGGACGAAGTCTATACCACAAGCAAAGCACGACTGACACTGCATTGCCATTTGTGTAAAAGTTAATCATGTTGTGTTGATTAGTTTATTAACTCTAGTGCAAGTAGGAGACTGTTGGAAATATGCCCTAGAGGCAATAATATTGTATTATTATATTTCCATATTCATAGTTAAGTGTTTATATTTCATGTTATAACTACTATGCTAATGTAATATGCGATTCAGTGGAAAACTCATATGCACGTGTGAAATGATAAACCGATAAAATAAAGGTTCCCAGTCTCGCCTCTAAGACTAGCTCAAGTGTTGTTGGTGATCAGGTTTTCCGGAACTTAGGATATCGTTGGTGATGTCGAGCAAAAGATTCGCAAAAGGAAGCTACTATCTCAGAGTTAAGTCCATGTTTAGTGCTAAACTTATGAAAAGCATCAGTTTTCATGGAAGATTTAACACAATCAAACTCAAGTTTTATACCTGACTCTTTACCTTTGTCGAGTTCCCAATCTTCAGAGTTGCGTTTAATACTTTCCAGAAGACCCCATTTGAATTCAATAGTTTTCTTCATAAAGGAACCGGTAGAAGAAGAATCGAGCATGGACCGATCATTATGAGAACCAAGCATAAAAGTTTTGAATATAATTTCTCTTAGAGCTCATGATTGGGGCATGTGTGCATCATGTAGTTAAGCCTCCCCCAAACTTGAGTGATACTTTCTCCTTCACGAGGCCAAAAATTATATATATAATTCCGATCAAGATGAACCGGATGGATAGGATAAAACTTCTAATGAAATTCCAATTTCAATCGGTTCTAATCCCACGTTCCAATACCATCCATTAGACTATACGATGTCAATGCATTTCCCTCCAAAGATAAAGGAAAAACCTTCTTCTTAACTTCATCCTCGGATAAACCTGCAAGCTTAAACAATCCACAAATTTCATCCACATAGGTTAAGTACATATCAGGATGTATCGTTCCATCTCCAGCATAAGGATTAGCTAGTAGTTTCTCTAACATACCTGAAAGAATCTCACTATAAATATTTTTAGTAGGTTCAGTAGGTTGAGGGGAAACTCTTATTGCTTCCGTTCGAGGTGAAGATACCCCGAACAAACCCCTCAAAGGATTATTTTCCATAGTAACAAGTGACAGAAAATTTCAGCACATAATATAAATGTTCCTTACCAAAGGCACTTCAGTCCCCGACAACGGCGCCAGAAATGAGTCTTGATTAGCCACAAGTATATGGGATCAATCGTAGTCCTTTCGATAAGTAAGAGTGTCGAACCCAACGAGGAGTATAAGGAAATGACAAGCGGTTTTCAACAAGGTGTTCTGTGCAAGTGTTGAAAGTAACAATGATAGATAGTTGTGTAGCAAGATAATTCGTAACAAGTAACAGGTAGAAATAGTAACAAAGGTGCAGGAAGGTGGCCCAATCCTTTTTATAGCAAAGGACAATCGTGAAAGTTCTCTTATATAAAACAAAGTGTTCTCGAGGACACATGGGAATTATCGTCCAGTCACTTTTATCATGTTTAATTGATTCACGTTTGTTACTTTGATAATTTGACACGTGGGTGGGCCGGTGATTGGGTGTTGTTCTTACTTGAACAATTAAACCACTTATGATTACCCCCTCTTGCAAGCATCCGCAACTACGAAAGAAGAATTAAGATAAATCTAATCATATCATGAATCATATGGATCCAAATCAGCCCCTTACGGAATAACGCATAAACTAGGGTTTAAGCTTCTGTCACTCTAGCAACCCATCACAATGCCTTCCTTTAGGCCCAAGTATGGTGAAGTGTCATGTAGTCGACGTTCACATGACACCACCAAAGGAAGCAACAACATACATATCATCAAAATATCAAATGAATACCAACATCACATGATTACTTATGACAAGACTTCTCCCATGTCCTCAAGAACAAAAGTAACTATTCACAAATCATATTCATGCTCAAGATCAGAGGTGTATTGAATATGCTTGAGGATCTGAACATTTAATTCTCCACCAAATAAACCAACTAGCATCAACTACAAGATGTAATCAACACTACTTGCAACCCACAAGTACCAACCTCAAAGATTGAATACAAGAGATGAACTAGGGGTTGAGATGAGATGGTGCTGGTGAAGATATTGATGAAGATTAGTCCTCCCACGATGAGAGGATCGCTGGTGCTGGAGGGAAGTATCCCCGACGGAATCGCTCTACCGGAGAGCAAAAGTGCTCCTGCCCAGGTTCCGCCTTGAGACGGTGGCGCTTCACCCCGAAAGTCTTCCTCTTATTTTTTTTCTAGGTCAAAACCCCTCATAGAGCAGAAGATGGGAACCGGAGGCCAGCTGTGGGACCCACAAGGCATCAGGGCGCGCCTAGGGGGTGGTCGCGCCCTATTTCCTTGGGAGCAGCTGGTGGCCCCCTTCTGGAATTTCTTTGCTCCAGTATTTTTTTGTATTCAATAAAAGATCTCCATGAAGTTTCAAGTCATTCGGAGTCCTTTAGAATAAGTATCTCAGTTGTAGCTTTTTTAGTTCCATAATTCTAGCTGCTGGTAATCTCCCTCTCCATGTAAATCTTGCAAATTAGGAGAGAAAAGGCATTAGAATTGCATCATAAGGTGGAATAATGACAAAAACAATATAAATAATAGTAGGAAATCATGATGCAGAATGGACGTATCACTCTCTGTTCCGCCATGATTCAATCTTGAGGTATTTTTCGGTACCTTGACAGAGGTGGAAATTAACTGGTCACCAACCTTACTGCCAACACGATCATCTGTGAGTAGTTTTATTTGGACTATGAGTCCATATTAGTGGCTCGATGGCAATCTCTCCCTTGTTCTTCAATATGATTATTGCATGAGGTGCCTTACATGATTGTGATCCATCTGATGTAATCTTATGGTGTGTTTGTTGCGGTGTGATAATTTTCAGTTTATGATTAGACCTATATATGCTCTATTTATAGATCTGTATGAGTTCTTTGTTGCATAATTCAGACATATGTGGTCTCTAATATATTATTCTTACACTAGACATGTTTAGACGAATGATCTTTAAGAGGGGCTTGTGTATGTTAGTTGGTTCAATTTTGCAAGTATTCAGCCGCAGTTACAAAAATTGAAAAAGGTGTGCATTGTGTTGTTGCCACTAAGAATAGAAATATAATTGCATAGTTGTCCTTTAAATAGAGGGTGAAGACAATACACTATCTACATCATATCATCATACTTAATGCAATACTTTGTTTTAATTAATACTTTGAGATGCATGTTGGATAGCAGTCTTGGGATGCATAATGGTCTTAGGGTAGAGTATTAGCTATATATGTTGTTGGAGTAACGGTCTATGCATGTTCGGATGCGATGCCTATATGCAATTATGACATGTATAATCATACTCATAAAATTGCAATTTAATCGATACGCAAGTGTAGTTTGTTCACCATGTTATGTTATCTTTTATTGGAGCGATGCCGCTAGTTAAACTATGGACCCCAGTCCATTAATCCCTATTGCTTTCAAACTCAATCAACATACTTTTTAATTTCATCTACAATCAAATTTTTTTTTACTTCGTTGCAATGAATATTTCCAAATAAAAGTTGCATTAATCCTTGTAACTAGCAAGGCTAGTAAGAATGACAATCTTACTTGTTTCGTTGGGGGTCAATGCAAAGTTATGTATTTATGTGTGCAACTGCTAATTATTAGTAGTAGTCCAAATACTCATACAATTTATCAATTATTAATAGCTTTATTTATGTGTACGAAATATCAAAGAACCCCTTCAAACTCCATGGCATATCTTTTCGCATACAATTCTAGTTTTGGATGATTATTTGTACTTGCGTGATCTTCTTTTGAACCCTAACCATTTAAAAAATGCAATTATGCTTTTCATTTGGTTATTATGTGTAATTTACAATTATTTTTGTACCTTCCTCAGCATGTAGAGTATGTGCTTCTGGACAAGCAAAGAGGAGGTGAGGCTAGAGAGGGAATGATCATGCATGAAGGGGCAAAGCATGTGAACACCTTGACCATATCTTATCCTATGCATCTCATTCCTTCCTATGCCTCAAATGTGCATGTTGTCTTGTTAAATGTTTTTACAGGGATTAGATGTCACATGTGCCATATAATGTTTTCATTCATGCCCCTACTTGTTTTCATATACCATATTCCTCGTCACCCTAAGCTAAGTTAGATGGTCTATTGTGTTAGTATCATCATGGTAGAGTAGTATGCTTCATCTTGTTGTCGAAACCGGTTGTGTATAAACTTGACTTAATGAGATATTTCCACTTGAAAAGATGGATGATGGAATGTGGTGTTGAGTTATTGACATTGAGTGGCAATGCATTGCACCATTAGCAAATAGAGGAGGGTAAACTTGTACCGATGTGGCATAGAGCTGTTGCTATTGATGATGATGATGACATTGATTAGAAGAAAGTACTGCCCGCTTGGTCAATTAATGACCGCATCTTTTGTACCCTAGTTTTGGAATACGACCACATGTCATGTCGTAAGGCCTGGATGAGTAACAGATAAGCCCTGAAGCAGTTTTCCAAAAGAGGGTCAAGGAGGAGCCACCGGAAGTAGTGGATGTCAATGTCATGTTCTGCCTTTTAGTACGACTAGGTTTTGTACAATCCAATGTAGAGTTTCCTGTGACGATCTTTAGTGCATGTGCGGTTAGAGAATACACCTGCTGGCAAGTTATCCATTCCATGGATCTGTGATTGTATCTGGTAGGCAATGTGAAATCTCTTGTGACCTTTCTCCCGCTACCTCACTACAAGGAGTGTGGTTTGTGGGTAGGCATGTCTCAACACACGAAGGAACCATGCCCTACGGGTAAAATCACGCATCTCCACAGAGTGTATAATCTACTTGAATATTTTTGTCCACTGTCATGGACAACTCGACCTTTAACACTATAGATAACCAACACCTAAGCATTTGTACAATGGTTGGTTGTAATAATGAATCTACTAGTTCACTTGTTATCCCCTCCCATTCGTTACTTGGATGCCTACTTTAAGTTTCACATCTTTATCGTGTTACTGACATTCTCCTTGTGTCACACCGTGCAATGAGTGAGAAGCATTTCTTTAATTAGAAATCTTGCATATCACATCCGTTGCATACTTTTGACACTGATTCTAAAGCGTATGGGTGGTTGAGAACCATGTTTTCTATTCTTGGCAGAGACTCTCCTTTGACACATCCCAACAAAGACTAATTCACTTGCAAGCATGACTCCCGACTAGAGACTGAAGTTGTCGTGCTAGAAAATTAATTAGCAAAGTCACCACAGATGCCTCGCTGGTTACAAGCTATCACAGAATGTAAATTCGTCGGCAATGCACTCACACATAGCTATCTTTTGTTCATCTGAGTATGCCGCCCTCGTTATGTTTGAATGTATAGTACGGTGTGCATGCCCATCATATGCATCATACATATCGCCCAAAACTACAAGAAAAATATCTCAAGCCTTCGTGTTGTATACACCGGAACCCTCTCCATCGGACGTGGGTCCATACCCTCCTCTCTTCTTTGCACATGCGGAAGACTGTTCATGGGAATTCTTTGAGGTCGGCTCAGAAGAATCTGTTTTCGTTACTCTGGACGCCGCAGGTGACCACTTTGCTCGATCTCATCTTGCGTATGTACATCACGAGCCCCCCGATGCCGATCGCTGCCGAAATTGAGAACACGACGGTTGCTGCATAGCAAAAATGGCCAGAATTAACGAAATTGCTTCTTCAAATAATCGAAAGTGCGAGTGAGGTTTTTGGTAGTGGTTCTCAGTTCGCACCAGCTACAACTCCGGCTGATGCTCCATGCCCTGTGACGCGGCCATCTGTGTATGAAAACATGATCAATTGGTCAGGCCGGTATGCCCCATTAAAAGTCGGGGTTTGGCACGCATAATTTTGGTTTTACGCAGATCCTGGCGTTGAGAATTACAGAAACCTATGCTTTTAAATTGAACGTCTCCAAATGCAGTTACCAAAGAGAGCCAGAGCAGAGAGGGCGCACCTGCACAGTCCGTGGTGGAGTTCCGGCCGCCGTCGCAGATGCAGACGAAGTCCCTGGTGGCGGGGTCGAAGCCGCAGGTGCCGTTGGCGCCGCGGCGCCGGTCCTGGCACTGCAGGCACCGCGTGGTGACGGGGATCTCGAAGTCCACCCGGACGCCGTAGTCCGGCACCTGGTCGTAGGGCGGGAACTTGTCGCCCACCGCGCGCCAGTACACGGTGGTGTAGGCCTCGCAGTGCCGCAGCATGGCCCTCAGCGACTCCGCCGCGCGGGGCCGGTACGCGCAGCAGCTCATGTTGCCTTCCTCCAGCGCGCCGCGGCAGCCCGGCAGGTTCCGGCACAGGTACCCGGCGCTGTCGCACGCCGAGTCGCACCGGTCCGGGTACCGGTCGCAGATGGCCGGCCGCGGCGCCACGATGACCCGCTCCTCGTCGCAGTTGAAGAAGAGGTGGTCGTTCCTCGGGGACAGCGAGAAGCGGGTGCTGGTGTCCAGGCTGAAGGGCGCGGCGTGGACGGCGGTGAAGGGCCGCGCGCAGGTCCACATGGACGGGTCCGTCACCACCAGGTGCGGGTCCGCGTAGTCGGCGCCGGACACCGGGTACGTGCCGGATGGGGTGCGGAGGCGGAGCGTGGTGTTGTCGGCGCAGGTCAGCATGCTGCGGTAGTACGGGCTGCCGCAGCCGTCGTCGATGCCCAGCGGGTAGCGCACCGGGACGTCGCCGCAGCTGTCGCGGCAGAGCCCGCCAGCGACGGAGGGAGGCCGCGCCGAGATGATCACGAGGATCGCCAGCACATGGAGGTGGAGACGCATCTCCATGTCACTGGAGTTGAGTGACGCAGTGCAAATGTGCGATGGCAATGATACTGAGAACTACTAGCTTCTTTCTTTGCCTCAACAATGGAGAAAAGGCTAAAGAGTGATGGTTGTTAGCTCGCTTGTGGTTGGGCTTTTTTTTCACTTTGGCTTTGAGCCTCTCACCTTTTGCTTTGCTTGGGGCATATTAGTGCCTTCTTTAACCCGTTTCCGGAATCTAATCCAGTGTGCTTGCCTCCTCGGTCGGCTAAGTATCACCAAAGCAAAGCATACGCGGGATTCGCTCTCTTCTCATAGTTTATTATTATTATTATTATTTTTTAAAGAAGGATGACTTCACCTCTACATCTGGGAGATACATGCAGCTATTTTAATAATTATTCACAAGGACCTTACAAAGTAATACATCAATGTGTCTGAATCTGTCATCTTCGCAACATCTCTCGCTACTCGTGTCCAATTGATGAATGGATGCAATCAGTCTGAGCCGAATACCCAGACCACTCACCTAAGCCTAACAGCTAAAACCGAAGGCCCAAACCAAGCCACATACAGGTGTGGGGCATAAACCGGTCTGACGCACTCTCATGGGTCGTCACCACCATCTTTCACCGATCCATCTTCACAGAAGGTATTGACGCATCGACTTTGCCCCGCCCGCCATTGACGCCGCCACGACGCCAAACAGCGCCACCGCCCTGCGTCGTCCATCTAGACACCTCTATCGTCGAGATCCAGCTGCATCATGCCGCCAATACTCATCGTCTTCACGCGGTAGATGACACGCCGCTCCACCTACGAACCTCCGCACCACCGCCACCTCCCCTTGCCACTCGGATCCCACCGCCAGAACAACCCTCTCCCGAACACCCAAGCCTCCCCAGACGGCTCCTTCATGAAGGGTACGACGCGCAAGGCATCACCGTCGCCCAATCACGTGGATTTTGGACTTCCGTCTGGGAGGGAGGTCAGGAGACGGAATTAACCACATGGCACCACACACCAGCCTCTCCTAGCCAAATGGCGCCCCCATGGAGGTAATGACACCGAGCACCGCTGCCGCCGCATCCGCAAGGGATAACAGGAATTAACCTTGGGTCAAGAAAGAGGGGTGGGGAGAAGGGATCTCGTCTGTGCCTCCAAGGAGGGAAGCAGTGTCTGCGGGCTGTTTCACCGACGTGGATGGCCAAGCCACCAAAGGATTGCTCCCGAACGCAACTCACACCAGCGTGCCCAGCCACCATTAGCTCGGTGATTCAAGATTACCGGCATGAGATCCGGCAGGAAGTGACCAGACGGGAAACTTCATACTTGACGCTAGGAGAACCGCCTGAGCAGACCGCTAGCCACGAACCGCGCCTGTCATCGTCGTTGAGGACGCCGACCCTCTCCCATGAGCACCATCAGCCACAAAGATGGCGTCGCCTCTGCAAGCAGGGTCGCCGCCCTAGATCCCAAAGCCCTCCGCCGAGCCCGGAGCGACGAAATCCCCGCCGCCACCTTCGTCGGCGACCGCACGGGCTTGCCTGGCAGCCTCCTCTGGTGGCGGCGAGGAAGATAAGGGGGCTAGGAGTGGCAACGCGGGCGTAACCCTAGTCGCCTCCCGTGTCGCCAGAGTCTTTATTTCTTTTCCAAACAACCCACCCGACCCTTATATTTATTCTATGTCATATAAAATGGAAGATGTTGGAAATATGCCCTAGAGGCAATAATAAAATGGTTATTATTATATTTCCTTGTTCATGATAATTGTCTATTGTTCATGCTATAACTATATTAACCGGAAACCGTAATACATGTGTGAATACATAGATCGTAATATATCCCTAGTAAGCCTCTAGTTGACTAGCTCGTTGATCAATAGATGGTTATGGTTTCCTGACCATGGACATTGGATGTCATTGATAATGGGATCACATCATTAGGAGAATGATGTGATGGACAAGACCCAATCTTAAGCGTAGCACAAGATCGTGAAGTTCTTTTGCTAAAGTTTTTCTAATGTCAAGTATCATTTCCTAAGACCATGAGATTGTGCAACTCCCGGATACCGTAGGAATGCTTTGGGTGTACCAAACGTCACAACGTAACTGAGTGGCTATAAAGGTGCACTACAGGTATCTCCGAAAGTGTCTGTTGGGTTGGCATGAATCGAGACTGAGATTTGTCACTCCGTATGACGGAGATGTATGTCTGGGCCCACTAGGTAATGCATCATCATAATGAGCTCAATGTGACTAAGGAGTTGGTCACGGGATCATGTGTTACAAAACGAGTAAAGAGACTTGTCGGTAATGAGATTGAACGAGGTATGAGGATACCGACGATCGAATCTCGGGCAAGTAACATATCGATAGACAAAGGGAATTGTATATGGGATTGATTGAATCCCCGACTTCGTGGTTCATCTGATGAGATCATCGTGGAACATGTGGGAGCCAATATGGGTATCCAGATCCCGCTATTGGTTATTGGCCGGAGAGATGTCTCGGTCATGTCTGCATGGTTCCCAAACCCGTAGGGTCTACACACTTAAAGTTTGGTGACGCTAGAGTTGTTATGGGAAATAGTATGTGGTTACCGAGGGTTGTTCGGAGTCCCAGATAAGATCCCGGACGTGACGAGGAGTTCCGGAATGGTCCGGAGCTGAAGATTGATATATTGGATGAAGGGTATTGGAGTCCGGAATTATTCCGGGGGTGCCGGGTGACGACCAGCGTGTCCGAAAGGGGTTTCGGAGGCCCCGGCAAGCGTTGGGGGGCCTTATGGGCCAAGGAGGGGGCACATCAGCCCACTGAGGGGCTAAGCGCCCCTCCCACCCAATCTCACTTAACTTGGAGAGGTGGGGGCGCCTCCCCTAGGGCAGCCACCCCTCCCGGCTTGGGGGGCAAGTTTCCAAGGGGTGGGGGCGCCCAAACCCATCTAGGGTTTCCCCTGTGGCCGCTGCCCCTCCCCTAGGGAACCCTAGGGTGCCTCCTCCACCCCCCTTCCCCCTATACATAGTGAGGGAGAGAGAGGGCAGCCACACCCTTCCCCTGGCACAGCCCCTCCCCCTCTCCTACTGTGACGCCCGGATAATCAAGCTATAGTAACCTTTGCTAATGATGCCACGTCACCTCGATTACTGTTGCTAATCTCGCGTTAGTTCGAACCGATTCAAATTCAAAATCAAAATAGAGGCAAACAACAAAAGTTTTCAAACTTAAAACTAAAATGTCCGAGTTGTGCCAAGTAATACAAAGTTAATTGTGGCGAAGAAGCCCCACTTTTATAAAATGTTTTAATACTCTAAAATGATTAAAACGGTAGTTGAAACGATTGAATATGCGCCTTTGGTATTTTATAAAATGATGAACTATTTTATTTTGAGGTATAAACTTTTAGGTTAGTGAGTTATTTTGAAACACTATTTTCAGAGCTATTGTCATATTTTACTAAACTGAAAATAAAGTGTAACTAAAATAAAACTGAAAAAAGTGGAAATCAAAACAAATAAAAAGGAACCCCCCCCCAACTGGGCCACGGCCCAGTCGGCTCAGCCCACCAGGCCGGCCCAGCCGCCCCCCTCACTCACTTAACCCCACGCCCCTGGAACCCTAGCACCGCTAACCCCCCCCACTACTCCCACTCGTCCCTACTCCCTCTCCCTCGTCCCACTCCTCCTCTGCCCCCCGATCTGGATCGAGGGAAACGGCTCCCCGACCCCCGTTGCCGCGACCCTTCGCCGTTACCATCGCCAACCGCCGTCGCAAGGAGAACCACCCCGTTGTCATCGTTCATCGGGGCAACCCCACCGGAGCTCTTCTGCCTCCACCCCTCACCGGACCTACGCCCTCCCCGTCAACCTCCTCCTCGCCGGACCGCTCGCATCATTGACCTCCTCCCCGAAGGCCTCCGTCGAGCCCGCTGCCATTCCCCTACGGCCCCCGCCGTGAGCACCTCCCCTTTCCTCGTACTTCCCTCTCCCCTTGTCGGACGCCATACGCCGTGCCCGACCGCGCCAGTGCACGGGCCAAGCCCTGCGCGTTGCTCGCGCTACGCTCGCGTCGAACACGCCAGCAGGCCGCACTCTCTGCCCTTCGTGCGCGTGCCCACGCCCCACCTCACAGCTGCAGCCGTGCTCCGCACCCGTCTCCCATGCGCCGGACCGCGGCCCAGGCCATCCCTTCCGCCGCGCCCCTCGCCTTGGCCTCACCTGACTCCGGGCTCCAGTTTTTGCTCGCCGCTTGCCGCGCGCATGGTCCCGTCTCTCCGGCGCTGCGGTGGCTTTGCCGGACCACGCGCCCGCAGCCCCCCTCTCGCTCCGGCGCTGCTCCAGGCACCACACCCCCGCTGCCGCGTCGGCCTGCAGTGGCCTCTCCCCGCCTTCAGCCGCTGCTCCCCTTCCCTGGCGGCCGCGACCACTCGCGGCGGTGGCCGCCGGCGCCTCGCCGCGACCGCGTCCAGTTCGGGCGCCCCGCAGCCCCCCAGCGCTCGTCGCC